CCTGTAGAAAAAAGGCATACTTTAAAGATTTTATTAATTTAATTCTATTTTATTACAGATGTTGGTTATTACACTTACCCTATCTACAAGTGCTCAGTGACACACAGTACAAAAGAACAAGTGAGAAAATCAACCATTTGTCTTAAATTATAAGTGAATTTTAAAAGAAGCAACAGTTTTATGATTTCAAGAAGACAGTAATCATGAAATTTAGGTGCAATGAGGAACTTCTGCATAAAACTGAACACAATAGTTCACTAAAAATTGTTTCTTTGACCATTTCAAAAGACATTCTTAATTTTACCAGGTATCATGATACAGCACAAAAAAAGAAAGAAAATTACAAAGTGTTTGTTCTCTGTCTTTAGAAGGAAAAAAAGTTTCTTATTTCTGTTTGTTCTTTTGAAATCAGTTCTAGGATTTACTTATTTATTTAATGATGCTGGGGATTTAACCCAGGACTTTACACATGCTAAGCATTCACTATACCACTGAATAACACCCAGACCTGGCTCCACTATATTTAGAAGGTAGAGTTACAAAGAGAGAACAGAAGCCTATTATTTCTAGAATAGTTGGTTTTGTTTATAGTCTCTGGAAGAGACATCGATTCTGTAATTGTGGAACACACTGGTGCTCTTAGAGAAAGCCAACTGTATTTCTTCAAAATCATGTGGGGAGAAAAATGTGATTTAACTGTACTTAACAGAGGCCACATTGTTCTCAACACAAACTCCAAGGAGATCATTCAAAGATTCATGCTTTTGTTCTTAATAGAATCGATGGAAATGATCAGGTCATTTGCTCTACATTAGAAGCAGTCACAGTAGTCTAATTTAAACATTATTGTAGTCTTGTTATGCAGAATTATTTGACATGCGTATTGATATCAAAATTTTCTTTACCTTTCACTTTGGCATTTATTAATTCTTTTAAAAAAGCGAATGTTCTGCATAAAAGCAACACAGCCTTTAATTTCCTGTGAATCTTAAAAATAAAAATCACTCTAGTACTTTAATGAGCACAATAACTCATTTTATACCACAGCCTTTTCTCTTTGGTGGAGCTGACCAAATGCTAACATGAAAAAAATGGTGCCGTTTAATAGGGGCATTGGCGTATTGAATGGTATTTGTATGCTTTTTTGCAAGAGCTGGAGACTACTAAAAAGTTCCACAATTGGTCAAATGCAGAAAATAGGTGACTTTGAGTTGTCCAATCCGAAGTGATACATCTACAATGCAACCTCTACACCTCAGGCTCAAGGAACATCATGAAAGAGCAGGTAGAAAGATTGTATGAGCCAGACAGGCAAGACATCTGTGCTAGTTAATGCATTCTAGACATAACTGGGGAGCTGCACCAGTGAAATCTCCACAGCGTGATGCCCTGACAAGATCTGCATAATGATATGCCAGCTTGGATGGGAAAAATTTCACAGGGTCTCACCTCAAGATAAAAAGCTACAGGCAAACAATGAATGCAGAGAGAGAGAACCAACTTTCTACAGGGATGAGCTCCCTGAGAGGTTATCTAATTCCAAGTGGGCAGCCCCAAACACGGTTATGCATGAGCACCACAAAATGGATTCAATGAAATATATCTATCAATGTATGCATGCACACGTAACAATAATAATCAAAGAAGAGGACAAGAACTGAGTGAGGGGGATGCATAAGAAGAGTTGGAGGAGGGACTGGGAGGATGGAAATAATGTCAATACAGTACTTATGTATGAAGTTCTCAAAAATTAAAAAAAAGACGTCCTCCTTTTTCAGTAAATGCTACTGCTGAAGACATCACATAAATGAACTACAGAACAAGCAAGGAGAAATCAAGCTTGTGCTGATTTCAGAGACTCATTGCTAGCTTTCATAGTGCTGTAAGGTGCTATTCATACCACTGGAAGAAAAAAATAATCATCTACCTTGCCCAGCTGTGAATTCTGCAAGCTATAACAACAACTGGCCTGGATACACATGCCACCAGTGCAGTAGCGGCACAAATATTGTGGGAGTAACCAACCACTTTCTAATTGGATTTAAGGTCTTCTTCATAGGATGGAGCCCATATCTGACATTGATATCAGGATTAGGAACCTGAGGATTGACAGCTCACAGGGCATAGGGGAGAACCTAATACTAATTTTCTACTGAATACTTATAGTACTACACTGACTCCTAATGACTTTTTCTTATACCCATAGACTAATGCATCACTCAGCTCTCACCAGAGAAGTTTACTTATGCAGCAGATGGTGATAAAAACAGAAACACACAACTTGCTGATGGGCAGCCAACAAGAGGCTGTAGAGTGCATATTCCTGAACAAGACACCTATATCAAATGTCTGCCACCCAAGGCTCAGGGATCATCGCAGAAGAGGGGATGGGACGATTTTAAGTGCCAGAGGAGGTGGATAACCATAGGAAACAGAATGCTCCAGACAGCTGGGCAGTTACTCATATGAACTCACAGCAACAGTGACAGCATGCACAAATCCCATGCAACCACAAAACAGAATAATTCACAGCATAGACATGTGGAAATGGGTGAGAAATCCCAACCCAACCTAAGGAACAAGTGCTATCTTAGGCCCATATTGGACATCATTACATCATTAAACTCATAGGCATTACTTCATAGCGTGCCTGGGCATGGTGTGTAGGTTGTGTATTCATTACCTCCTGGGGCTCCATTTCATCTGTAAAGCTATCTAAGAGCTGGAGGCCAGCAGATTGAGGGGTGGAGAACCTCAAATTATTCTACAAGGTATTATATGTTGATGTTACAATGCTGATGTTGCAAAGATTTGTTCAGGTTAGTACTGAAACTAATTTTCCTTCTTCTAGCATAAAATCATGGTAGGGAGGACACATGCTAC